GGGACAGAGCGACAGGAGACTCAGTCCCTGTGCTGCACAAGCTCTCAGCTATTTGCCAGATGAAGACTGAGACTGAGAGAGCTCAGGTCGCACTGCTCCTTAGTGCCAGAACCAGTCCTGCTCCCCTTTGGCCCCCAGACCAAGTCTCTCCAGACACTACAGGGCTGAACAAGTCCTCCAGACGAGGTCCAAGTTCTTAGCACCTCACTTTTCTTTACTCTGAGGTCTTTGCTTCACTAACCTCAACTTTACAAAGGGGCTACTAGTCCCTTGTCACCTGTATCCCCATCTCTCATCCCCTGCTGGCTCAAAGAAACAAACCTACCACAGTCACCATCCTCACTCTCATTTACTTGGATCCGACTTCCTAAGGCAGAAGTTAAGATATATTTGCTAAATTCAGGAGTCCCCCACTCTTTGCTTTGTAAACTTCCACTGATTGACAGATCTAACTTGATTTCAGATACCAAGTTCCTTTTCGAAAAAGAGACTGGAAATGGAGTTACATAATAGTTTCGCTGTGGTTTTTTATTTTTTTAATTTTTTTTTTTATCTTAATGTCCTTCCTCTTTCATTACTGTTTGAGGCTACATTTGCATTTATGCACACCAGCCCAAACTAATGCTTTTGTGAATTCAAAATAGCCTGAAATGCCACCCCTGATAAACTTCAATAGGCATTTTATCCATATCACTGAGCTGTATATTTTAAGAACCTGTTTTACTCAAGCTGAGGGTGGCATGAAATGGAAAAAAAAAAAAAGAGAGAAGAAGCTGAGGGCTGACGGGACTTCTGCCTGGGTCGGGGCTTGGGTTGGAGGTCGCAGGTGTGGGAGAACTTGGTCCCACTGCTCCCAAATCCCTGAAGTAGTTTGGGTTTCGATGTGTCTTTCAGCAAAATGATGCTTCAACACCCAGGCCAGGTCTCTGCCTCGGAAGTCAGTGCCTCTGCCATCGTCCCCTGCCTGTCCCCTCCTGGGTCACTGGTGTTTGAGGATTTTGCTAACCTGACACCCTTTGTCAAGGAAGAGCTGAGGTTTGCCATCCAGAACAAGCACCTCTGCCACCGGATGTCCTCGGCCCTGGAGTCAGTCACTGTCAGCAGCAGACCTCTCGAGATGTCAGTCACGAAAGCCCAGGTAGGTTCTGTCACAAGTGTCCGTTCCTTTGGCGCTTATCGCACACCTGCACACCTACCGCATGCCAGGTGTGCTCTAGGAAGGGGGCTGCAGCACGAATAAAACAAAATCACTGCCCTCAGGAAGCTTACTTTCTACTGGGAGGAGACAGAAAATACACAAAAGAAGTGAATCCGCAATATGAGCAACAGGCAGAAGAGAAAAATAAAGCAACAAAAGGGAACTGAGAGCGGAGTAGAGGTGGGGGTGCTGTTTTAAATCAGGAGGTCAGGAAAGCTTTCACCGATAGAATGGCCTTTGAGAAGGGATTCGAAGGAGGAGAAGGAGGGGCCTGAGTAGCTGACAAAAGAGCCAGAAGAAGGACACTGAGTGGGGAGTGTGCTTGGTGCATACGAGGAGTAGCGGTGGTCCATGTGGGTGGAGAACAAGGGAGGAGCTGAGGTAATGGGGTGGGAGGCAGATCATGCTGGGTCTTATGGACTGTTATATAGATATGGCTTTACTCAGAGTGAGATGGGAAGCCACATGGGTACAAGATGGGGGTGTTTCACGCTTACTTAACTGGCATGAACATTGCCTTTGGGCAAGGAATAGTGGCACTGGCCAAAAAGGAACTGGGTTTTAAAGGAAGTTTGTTAAGAATATGATGCTCTAGAAGGGGGGTGGGGATAATAATAACTTCACTATAGGACTGATCTAAGGGTTAATGAGATTACATTTGTTAAGGGTCCAGCAGAGGAGCTGAGTGATAGCTCAGTGACTGATAGTTGGGACTATCGTGTGATGCTCCATCCATAAGGCATCATTAGGGGCATTGGAGGGGCATTGGCTGGGCCCTAACCAACCTGAGGGGAGGTCATAGGTACCCAGTGCAATACTGGACAGTGCAGGGTGGATCATGGGACACTCAAGGGAATTTTTAATTTTCTAATTAAATATCCTGAGATAATAGGATGCAATGGAAGTAGTAGGATCCCCGTAGAAGGGAGGAGAACATTTTGGAAGGATAGTTGGAGGGTTCTCCAAAGGAAGAAGCAGACAACCTGCTTTGTGGAAACACTTCTTAAAGCCACCCAACCCATCTGTAATCCTGTGTTCATCAAATGACCTTCTGATGTTAGATAGGTCAGTTTAACAAGCAGATTTTCCTCCTGGAGAGAGTATGCACCAACTGACCTACTTGAATGTTCTGGTCCCCTTGGTTGCTGTAATTCTCAACTTAAAATGAGACACGGAGCCTGTGAAACCCATAGGCACCCTGTGCGTTCGGGTCACTTTAGCACGGAGAGGACACAGGATGAGCCGAAGGCCTGGGTTTACATCTGGATTTTGTAGCCTGCTGGTCTACTGACCAGGAGCTGGTGATTCCTGGGCACATTAGTACTGGCCACTATTACTATTATTTGTTGGTTGAATTCCTCATTTCCACATTAATAAACTGAGGAGACTGAATTAAATGGCCTTTAGAAAGGCTTTTCCACATCTGAGTGTGTGACTCTGAGTTTTGCTCTACTTTCTAGTACTTCGTCATATGAGAAAACCCCAAATTCTCCCCTACCTATCCAAAGCATATCTGTAGGGTTGTAAAGGAAATACTAGAGTTGCTGAGTTCTTGATGAAGACACCAATGGTGAGGTTAATAATAATAATAATAATAATAATAATAATAAGAAGAAGAAGAAGAAGAAGAAGAAGAAGAAGAAGAAGAAGAAGACATAGTGCTGACTATAAGCGAAACACTGTACAAAACACTTTACATATGTTCACTAATTTGACTCTCATCGCAATCCTATTAGGTAGGTGAGATTATTGATCTCATTTTACAAAGAGGGGCATTGGCTGGGCCCTATGAAGAGCATGGTACCTTATTCAAGGATCAGAAGAGCATGGTAGCTTATTCAAGGTCTCACAGGTGGTGAAGCTAGGATTAAAGACAGTTTAGTCTAAACCCAAATTTCTGCCTGTGTGGTTCTCTGATCCAGGATGTAAAAGATGGAATTTCTCTCACCTTATTTCCCTCTTGGGCTTTGTTTTTCTAAATTGCAAGGCCTTCCATCTCAGTCCAAGCAAAGTCAGTGTCATCTAATCCAAAAGGATGAGTATTAAGTCAGATGTGTGTTGATTATGGCAAGCCAGGGTCTCTTTGGTTTGAGGTCTGGTTCCCATGCCCTTTTCCACTGTCTAGAGCAGTGACAAGTGACACGACAAGTCTTGATATGAGCAGCCTAACTATCACCCACACAGCCCACCACGAGTGCTTCACCCCAGCTGGACTCTGAACTCTAAGCCAGGTCCAGCAGCCGAACTTCGCCGATCAAGTCAGATCCGAGTGAACTTGCAGAGGATCAGATCCTAAAACAGGACAGGGTTTTGTTCTCTGTGGAGCCCTGGGGCTGGCTTGGAGTGGGCAGAGAGGAAGAGATCAGTATTTAATTGGAGGATGAATCAGTGGATGGTTCTAGTTCACCATCCACCTTTGGCACCAAGCCGTAGGCTGTAATGCCACTTTGTTTGGGAACAGGCTTGAGTTCCTCTTCTCTAGGAGTACCACAGGCTTCTCCTGAATTCAGGAAGGAGGTGCTCTGGTGCTCCGAAGGAAGATGGAGACGAATGGGGCTGCCCTTGGGTCTTGAATGAAAGAGGCAGAGGAAGAGGGTGGCGCGGTGATGTTCTTGAACCCATTCCTGGTTCTAGGGGAAAGAACGTATTAACCACGCAGAATCTGTTTCCTGATCTAAATGACCGCTGTGATTATCAATTTGAATATCAAACTCTTATTTCAAAATGCATTTTTAAAATAAGCTAGATTTTAATTTACCAATATTGCCAATATAATTTAAACTAACAGGTTTTGCTTTTCATCATTCGTTCTCAAGGGCACATGTGTGGGAGAGGTTTCATGCAGAAGGCTGGGGCTTTACTCCTTCCGGGTCCTCTAGCATCAGGACTCCCCTGGTTTGCCAGTTTTTGCTGGCAATAAAGGGCAGTGTATTTGAGGTGGGCTGCATTTCTTGCCTCCCATTAAGCACGTGCCTTTTGAATCGGACAGGTAGCCCCTGAAGAAGATGAAAGGAAAAAGAGGCGACGGGAAAGAAATAAGATCGCAGCTGCCAAGTGCCGAAACAAGAAGAAAGAGAAGACAGAGTGCCTGCAGAAAGTGAGCGCCTTCTCGCCTCGCCCCTTCCTCTTGCTCATGCCCGTCCCCCACCGACCTCATGTCACTGTCGGAAGGGGAGTTAAAAAGCCCCCTACCCAGAAGTGTTTTCCCCAAGAAGGGCGTTGTAGCTGGGTAGCAGAAATGCCAGTGGCTAAATGAAGAGGTAACAAAGCTGTTAGCACAATGAATGTGGCTCTGGATGTGTAAAAAGCAGGTGTGTGAATTAAAAATCACAGCAGTCTCGGCCAGTCTGTACAAGTCCAGCAGCTTCCAGGCTGCAGGATATGTCAGCGCAGTTAAAGAGGTTTGCTCGTTTTCCTGAGAGACGGACGAAGCTGCCAGCTCTCATTTGGCTCACTATGAAAAGCCTTTAATTAATCGCTTCAAACAAGTTATTTCCTTAATCCACAAGCAGTGGTTACACTTTTTTTGGTGTTCCCGTGTAGTTCTTAACTCTGCAGCCCTTCTTCTTGGCTCATCCAATAGTGTGAGCTCCTGGCTGCATTCAGGCAGCATCCCGTCCTGAAGGGAACTGAATCTGTGGTGGGCGAGGTGGCCCACAGTGCAGTCTTGCCAGTGATCATGTCCCTTCCCCTAAGTGTGGACAGGCCAGGGCAGAGTCTTCACGCAGGTTCCACAGGTCCCCCAAGCGTTCTGTTGATTGCTGTAGGGAGTCAGTGAAAATTAAGACATTTTGTGTGTTGCCATATGTATTCTTTCTGGGGAGACGGGCATCTCAATGAAATTAGTGACTCACAAAAGACTAAGCACCATGAGTCTGAATTTCTCCCCAGCCGCCAAGGCCCTTGCGAGTCCAGATGACCTGCATGTGGGCTGTTGGACTCATGCAGAGGAGATCTCTGAGCGCTTGGTTCTGTTGCAGCTTCATTACTATCAGAGTCACAACCCGACTTAGTCTTGAGTGCAAACTCGAAGGCATCTCTGAAGAAGCCTCTAAGTTTAAAGGCTTCTCCAGGGTCTGGATTCTCCCAAACCTAATGCTGCTGTCCCTGCTTTGTGGGGCACTGTAGCAGGAGTCCAATGGCTTTCCTCTGCAGGCCATTCCCAGCTTGATGAGCCCCGACATGTCCCAGGTGCTGCCCCACCTCCTGGCCACCCCCTCCCCGCCTTGCTGGATGTTGGTTCTATTCCTAATAACTCTGTCGCTTGTCCCCCAGGAGTCAGAGAAGCTGGAGAGTGTGAATGCAGAACTGAAGGCCCAAATTGAAGAACTCAAGAATGAGAAGCAGCATTTGATATACATGCTCAACCTTCATCGGCCCACGTGTATTGTCCGAGCTCAGAACGGGCGGACTCCAGAAGATGAAAGAAATCTTTTTATCCAACAGATAAAAGAAGGAACATTGCAGAGCTAAGCAGCCGTGGTTATGGGGACAACTGGGGAGTCCTCATCAAATCCTCCTTCTACATCCAAAACCCTGCAGCCATTGGAGATCTGACTCCCTGTGCACCTCTCAAATCCCAGCAGCAAAGACCCCTGGAAGCGGGAGGGCTCAGTGGCCCAGCTGGGCCTCTCCATTCTGCCCTGAGTGGACTTCGGACCAGAGCAAGGGCATCTTTTGCCTCAACTCCAGGATCTAGGCCTTAACATACCAGCCATTCTTGGATTCTCCAGATGGCCCCACGTTAGGGCCCTGCCTGCCTTTCGTATGGATTCTACAAAAACCAGGACGCCCACCATTAAGAGTCATGCAGAACAAGTATCTGTTCCTTGGGTGGGTGGGGTAGGGCCACCTCCTCCGCTGCCACTGTCATGGTCACTTTAAGGGAAGTGGAGTGAGAATGGCTTTTAGCAAAGTTGTGCAATGGCCACGGTTGTGCTTCTAGCAAATACGCTGTTATTTACAGGAATTACTGTGTGCAAGGTGTTTGTTTCATAACTAGGCGTTGTGCTCTCCCGATGTTTGTTCCTACAACACTGGTGTGACTTTTTCGTGACTTCCCTCAGATCTCATTTCTGAGAGTTTGGGGGGGATATCACCAGGCGTAGTGTCTTACAAAATGTTCAGGTGTCCAGAAGAGCATGTCAGCTCCAGGAGAGCAGAATTCGGCTGGCCGGCGGTACAGTCTTGTGCCAACGGAGAAGCCCTCCTTTCCTTGGCACCCAGGCATGAACGTAAAATTCATGTGCACGGCTGCAGGTCCTCTGTTGCAAACTCAGTCACAATGTCGCAGGAGGAAAGCAGTTAGTCCACCGTCCACAGAGTTAGGACTCTTGCTCAGTGACAGGTCAGGAGTTATTTCTAGGCGGGAAGAGCCAAAGAATATTCCATTTTCCTTTTCTTGCAGTTGAAAACCACATTCAGTGGAGACTTGTTTGAAGCTAGGTGATGCCTAGGCTTTCACATGATTGGATGTTAATGGCATTGTTTTTGTCATGCAGATGTTTGTAGAAATCTGGCCCAGAGCATTGACAGATGTGAGAGGTCATTCACACTGGCCACAAGGACTCTGGTTACTGTCTGTTTAAATTCTGACATTTCTGTGAAATCCTCAGAGTGTTTAATCTTACGCAATAGTATCATTACAATTTTCTGTAAGAGAAAATATGACTTATTTATCCCAGTATTGCTAACCTGTCAATATAATAAATATTGGAACCAAGATATGGTAAACTTAAGTGTTGTGCTGGTCTCTGTTCTTTTTAATCAGTTGGTTGTTGAGATCTAGTCACTTCCCACCCCTTTCCTCTCCTTGGGTTGGAGAGAGGGTTATTTAGCTTTAAAGATTCTCCAAGTGCTCTCCTTTGTTCTTTGGGGTGCCACTAGCTGAGACAATTGACTTTCAATCCTGTTCTTCAGTCTGTGGCATCTGATATTCAATTTCTCATTAAAAATCCTTGGAACACAGCACCAAGTAAATCCTTTAGGCCAACTGTTTGGTTAAAACAGAATTTTGTTATAAAATCTGAATTGCTAAATACCTCAACTATCCGTTTATCTGAATGTACAGAAGCCTAAAACGTACACTTGTTCAACTTGAGCCATGGACAGACACCTTACATTCTGCCACAGAACTCTTGAATTACATTTATTATAATGTCCAAATGTGTGTCTCATTGTTGCAAATATGTATTTCTGATATCATAAAAGAGTGGCAGGGGAGGGTGGAGAGGAAGAAAGAATAATTTTAGATGGGATTGGTGTCATGATTCAAAGAAAAGCATTCCACCCAATTTGATTCCAGAACTAGGATCCCTTGCTCTTTGCTCTGCACATAGGTAACACTCGCAGGCTAGAAATAAAAACTGACTGCTCCGCTACCAATGCTGCTCTTCAAAGAGATATTGGCTTCATTCAATATTGAAATTCACACACGCGAATGGTGCCTACTCTTTTGAGCTTGGGTATGGTTCCTTTAAACTATCATTTATGGCACAGGTGTCCTAATTGCATATCAGAGGTAGTTCTTAATCTGTAAAGAGCCATTTGGTGGAAGTACCGATTCACCCCTTCTTTTAGGAGAGAATCTTTTCTTTATCCTGGTGGAGGGGAAAAAATTCCTTGCATTTACACAATGGTTGTGGGTATAGGTGCCACCGATCAGCTGTTATAAAACTCGAGACAATTTCTAAGCTGCCACGGACAGCCGTGGATTGGAGAGGAAAGAGGGGGTTGGTGGCTATGGCAAGAAAAATTGATGTGAGAAACGCACTGTTTTTGGTTAATGGAACTGTAAGTTCTTTACACAAATGCATGAAAATAGTTTTGTTTTCTGTAGCCAAGTTTATGTTTTGATACTTTAATAATAAAAACAAAGGATGAATATCATTTTACCATCAAGTTATTTAGTTCATCTTGTTTTACATTCGACGGAGAGGGAAGTTTGGGGGCCTCTAGGAAAATAAACTTGGACGGGACCTCTTCATCCTGTCCCCTCGCCCCTCCCTGAGATCTGGCCTGACACCTGTTTCAGAGTCAAGAGCTTTAAATTGTTCTGGCCACAGGCAGGTTTTGAATTTTTCACTTTCTGCAAAAAGCTAAAATGCTGACTATCTTTATTCTAATATCTCCCCATTGGTTTTGAACAAACCTTTGAAACCCAAACCAAACTTTCTCCCCTCATCCCCACCCCATGAACATGTTGCGTTCAGGCAGTTTCTCTGTGGGGTGAACAGTACTTATGCCCATCCGCCTGAGGTAAAACCTCAGAGAAGGCCAGGTTTACCCACGATCATTCTGTCTTCTCTAACCCCAGAAGCTTCTCTCTTTGTCTTATTGAAAACTGCTCTCAGGAAGGAATTTACACCAAGACTTAAAGGGCCAGTTGAGGACTAATGCTGATAAGAAAGAGGAACATCTATTGAGACAATCTGCTCAGCCTTTTGTATACATTATCTCATTCGGTCCTCCCAGCAACTGTTACTGTCCCCATTTGACAGATGAGGAAGTAAAGAGCTGGGTAGCTTGCTCGAGGTCACACAGTTGGCCTTTCTAAAGCTGAAACCTATGTTTTTTTAACTATAAGGGTTCTGAGTAGGAGTATATGTATGCATGTTTGTGTGTACATGTGTGTGTGTGATTAAAATATAGACAGCATAAAATGTACCATTGTACCCATTTTAGAGTGTACAATTCGGTGGCATTCAGTACATTCACAGTACTGTGTAATCACACCACTGGTTCCAGAAATTTTCATTACCCCAGAAGGAAATCCTGTACCTATTAGGCAGTCACTCCCCATTCTCCCCTCCTTCCAGCCCTAGGCAACCAATTATCTAATATCTGTCTCAGTGGATTTGCCTCTAATATATATTTCATATAAATGGAATCATATGTGGCCTTTCATATTTGCCTTCTTTCACTCAGTAGGTTTTTAATCAACATTGTAGCATGTATCAGCACCTCATTCCTTTTAATGGCTGAATAATATTCCACTGAATGGACAGACCAAATTTTGTTTATTCATTTACCTGTTGATGGACAGATGTGTATATTTGAGCAGAAAAACAGCCTTATCCTCAAGGAATGAACCTCCTAGGTGGGATTTCGGGCATCACATCAAACTGGGAGATAAGTGGGTTGGGAACAGGGGTCTCTCAGAATGTCCATGTAACAATTTATAAAACAGTTATTTTGCAATAAGGCAGGAGGTAAAATGGTACATGCTCCCCGTAGGTGTCGGTGCTCCCAAACCACTTCTGCATGGTAGAGAGGTTCTACAGGAGGGCCTGGAATTGAAGCTTACATCTCAGGTTACCATGCCCCAATGCCCCACCATTTCACTGGAGGTCTTAAGAGAGAATAACTAGGTTTCCACACACAGACTGTTTGCACAAGCATAGTGGAGGAGGAAGAAATGAGATAGACCCCTGAATAATTTAATTCCCAACTTAGTCCAGCCACTGTCTTGAGTTCTTTCCATAACATATACACACATACAGGATTAATCGTGCAACTTATAATAATGCACAAAATGGGTCTTCTTGAAGGTAGTTAAATTAATCCAAGCTTTTGGTCAGCCCAAGCTTTCTTTGTGAGGCCAAGTACTGTAGGGGTTCAGGACAAAGGTTTTAGAATCAGCTAGGCCTGCATTCATACACTGCCTCTGCTACCATTAATTGGGTGAATTTAGGCAAGTGATACCATCTCCGTTGCTTCACCTGTAAAATGCAGGTGGTGGCAACAGTTCCACACTCAATGGATTCTTGCAATCCTGTGTGAAGAACATAGCATGATGCCCAGGGGAAGCAATTTTTAATGCTATTATTAAAGGTCATTATCATCAACATGTACTGAGATTTTATGAAAGAACAGGTCAACTTTAGGTTATTCGATAAAATTAAACCTCGAGCTCAAATTGTTCAAGTTTATCCCATGATCTTATGTTTCTATAGATTTTTGTCCAGTTTTTATGTTGGTCCCCAACTGAGTCCCTGGCAGGTAGACTTGTCGTCTGTGGGGACAATGAGGTGTTTGGGGGGCTGATGGTGGCCCTGCCATGAGGGGGTGGCTGTGGGATGGGAACAAAGGGGTATGTGACAGTGACACCTCACAAAGGGCAGCAGAGGATAAATATGGCCGCGCAGGGGTTTTAGGCTGAGAGAGTGGAGTTCACAGCCTCTTGGGGAAATAAAAAATCAGAGGTGGAGGCGAGGCGAGGCGGAGGGGGAGCCCACTCGACATCTTTACACCCTCGAAGAGGTTCAGTCCGGGGTCCAGGCGCCCTCCAGCATCCCCACTGGAATCACCTGCACCCCCACCCCCAGCCCTGCCTCTGGGAGGCTGTGAGGCTACAGGGGGGCCAGCGGGGTGGGGCGGGCTTGAGAGACCTGCCATAGGGCCATCTGCGTGACAGGGAGCACTGCTGCTCCCTCTTCTGCCAGAGGGGCCAGAAAAAGAAGAGCCTGGGGCCTGCCTTGCCAGCACCGCTCGCTCACAATAAGTCACAGCCATGAACAGCGAGTCTCTGTTACCATATTACACGGCCCAGAGTGGCTCCGGCGTGGGCATGTTCAATACCGCCATGGGGAAGCTACAGCGACAGCTGTACAAGGGAGAGTATGACATCTTCAAGTACGCACCTATATTTGAGAGCGACTTCATCCAGATCACCAAAAGGGGAGAAGTGATCGACGTGCACAACCGCGTCCGAATGGTGACCGTGGGCATTGCGTCCACCAGCCCCATCCTCCCTCTGCCGGATGTCATGCTGCTGGCCCGACCCGCCACCGGCTGTGAGCAGCCTGCTGGGCAAGGCCAAGTCACCAAGAGAAAAAGCCGCAAGGCTGCCAAGGCCTTAGAACTGACCAGGCTCCTTCCCCTGAAGTTTGTGCGCATCTCCATTCACGACCGTGAGAAGCAACAGCTGCGCCTGAAGTTCGCCACTGGCCGCTCCTGCTACCTGCAGCTGTGTCCCCCTCTGAATGCGCGGGAAGACCTCTTTGCCTATTGGGAAAAGCTCATTCACCTCCTGCGACCGCCAGTGGACAGTAACAGCAGCACCTACGCCACACCTGCCGAGGACATGCTGTGCGTGCCCGCGTTTGAGGAGGAGGACCGGAGGAGCCTGACAGCAGCCGACTTCCAAGGGAAAGGGGATCAGGACCAGGTCAGCATCCGAAGCCTCTACGTGGTCTCTGAGGTGTCTGGGGTCACCTCTGCAGCTTTTGCTGGCGGGGAGGGAACCCAATATGACTCCCACAATCCCACTGCCATGCCCGACGTGGCCACCTCACACACAAAACCTACACAGCCTGACAAAGCGTCGTCAGCAGGGGTGTCAGCAGGGGTGTCGGCAGGGGCGGCAGCAGGCACCACGGCCGGCGCTCTGAGCCTGGCGATAACCAAGTCTGCTGCCTCTGAAGAGCTGAGCACAGCCATAGCAGGGGCAGCTACCATGAGTCCAGGAGGAAACAAAACCAAGATAGCCATTGCGGGCGCTGCCGACATGTCCGCAAAGAGCATCAAAGTGGCCTTGGCAGGTGCTGCAGACAAGCCAGCAGAGTGTCCTTCCAGCACCAGCCTCTCCCCAGAGGCCAGAACGATTACTGCGACAGCAAAAGTAGAACCTACTAGCAAGGCTGTTGCAGAAATAACCAACGATCCAGCTGTGGCAGCTCTCGTTTCAACCCTGCCCACGGAAGGCAGCGTGAGAGAACCGGGGAGAAGGCGGCAGCACGTGTCTCCCTCCAGGGCTGAAGCCCACAAGAGCAGAAGGGAGAGGAGGGAGCGAAGGGAGAAGGACAGAGCTCTCAGGAGCTCCCGTCACCGCAGGGTGTCTGAAAACCGACACAAGGCGGGGGGAGATAAAGTATTCCAAAAATCAGCTGGCCGGTCCTCGGCCAGACAGAGAGATGACAAAAAGGAGAAAGGCCGTGGCAGCCCAGGGGGCGGCAGGCGTGTCATCACGCACAAAGGCATCAGCCACGCTCCCATCACCAAGGAGTCCAGGATCTCTCACAAATCGGGGAGGAGCTCGTCTACGACTAGTTCAAGTTCCACAACCAAGAGACTCAGCAGGATCAGCTCTTTCTTGAGGAATGTCAAAGCCAATCTTACTACAAAAGCAGTGGCCTCGCCACATGGTAAGGATGTGGACATCTTGACTAAGACGACGGAGAGGAAGAGCATGGAGACCAGCACGGAGGTAACAGAGAGTGGCCAAGGGCTGGACACGGCTGATAGTGTGAAACCTGAGACCAGGGAGAAAGTGACCTTCGAAGCCCTTTGATAGGACCCAGAGCCGGAAGCTGCAACGGGAGCCAGGGCTCAGGGGAGGATCCCTGGAGAGCCGATTCCAGCTTTCCTTACTGCAGTTTCAATAAAGAACAATGCGGTCTGAGAATGGCATGCTGCATTCTGTCTGAATTTCTATGTCCCGAAGCCCAGTCATGACCTCACAGTGGATTCTGTGATGTCAACTGAGCTGCAGCCTGTGCTGCAGTCAGGAGCAGCCTGACCTCGCCAAGCTTGGCCGGGGCTACAGGAGTGCTCCATCTGGCCTCAACTCTTTACCGTCCTTGTTCCCCAGAGTCATGACTGAAAGCTGGACTATGGTCTGGGAGGTTCTACCTCTGCGATCTCCCAATCCTTTTTTATAAACATTTCTTCCCCCAAAGGTCCACAGACAAAGCAAGAACAGGACTCGCATCCCCTCGGGCTATTCAGGGAAAAGAGGAGGCAGCATCATTGGTTGGGAGGAGTCTCGTCTAACGTCTAACGTGGCAATTCCTTTCCTGCAGACCTTGGAGAAACACCTTCTAGGAGACAGATATGAGCATGTTTCTAGCAAAAACACTCAAACACTGGAAACTATCAAAACACTGGAAACAGCCCAATTTCCAATAACAGAATTGATAATACAGTAGAATATGAGTAGATTGGGATAATAGTGAAAAATGAATGGCAGCTACCACATTAGCATAGATAAACTCATTATTTTTTAAAAAAAACAAGTCACAGAATAGGATATAATTCTATTTAGAGAACAGTTCAAAAACAAGGTTAAACAATACACTGCATGGGGTACATGTTCGCTAAAACTAGACAAAAATAGAAAGTAAAACAGCACAACAGTTTTCTCTAGAGCGGAAAGTTAAGACATCGAGTTGGTGAACTCAAGTCTTTCAGTGCTGAGGGTGATTTCTTAAACAAGGTGGTGGGTACATGGTGGTTGTATTTTTTTTTTTCACATTTTAATATCTCTGAAATTAGAGGTACAATCATTGCGGCAATTGTGATGAAGTTACTGCCTCAGAGACACCTTAACCGATGCCTTCTCTTATATTTTCACCCTGATGTAGGTACAAAAGTATTATGTCTGAAAGGTCCGGTGTCTTGAAATTACATTTCTCCTAGGCACATTATTACAAGAACCCTTGTTTGGTTATTAGGAGAAGAAGGAATGATATCCCTATTTTACAGATGAAAGAACAGAGGCTCAGAGAAAGTAACTTGCTGCAGTTGCATAGTGGGACTTGTGCTCATGCACAGCCCTGTCTTCAGCGTGGGGAGGAGGCAGAGCAAACAAGTCGAAGGAGATTGGGCCAGCGCAAGAACCTAACACATCAGCGTTCCTACCTGCACGTTCCAAAACTCTATAGAGATGAGCACTGAGTTTACGGATTGAGGGGCAGGAGAGGTGTGGTTGCTGGGAAGCCACTGTGAGTTGGTTTTGGAACTCCAGTGAGCTCACAGCCCTTAGCTGGTCTTATCTCAAAAGCGTCCAGACCACCCTTGAGCTCAGTCTGGCTCCCAGGCTTCTGTCCCCAGCCTTTGACATGACCTGCACTGCAGCCAGGATGGGGAATTATTGGAGTGAGTCAAGTTATTCTTAAGAAAGAAGGGACCGTGCCAAAGATTAGATAAGAATGGGCCCTGTGAAGAAAACAACCTCAGAATCATTAACCCAGAGCTTCAGAGAAGACTGGGGGCCGCAGGCAGGCAGAATTAATGGTTTACTCTTGACCAGCTTTTCCATGGACTCAGGGCAGGGAAATTACAAAAAGATCACATGACATTCCTTTCATCTTATGATTTCCACACAGGCAAGTGCAGGTAAACACTAGTCTGGAAGAAGTAAATGCTATGAAAGCATGTGCATAGCACTTAGCTGTTCATAGTCTTTAATGCACGTGACCCTCCTGATTCTCACATTCTTCCATTCTGCAGATCAGCAAACAGGAGTTCAGAGCATTTCAAGAACTTTCTCGAGGTGAGAGATGATGGTGCAGAGAGAGAGCAACCCCAGTGTGACACCTTTCAAGCAGCATTTATTGTGTGCCGGCCCCGGATCTTGTACTGAGGCACAGAGACAGTAAAGGAAACAGGACAGGTGTGAGTAATTATCACAGCTTCGAGTGACGGATGTGAGAGACTCATGTTCTGGGAACAGGATCCGTTGAGAAGTTCTGGGGCAAGGAAAGGCTTGACAGAGAAATTGGCAGTTTTAAGGATGAATAGGGCTCTGCCAGGGGGAGGAGGTATGGGGAGCAAGGGCAAAGGTGGAGGAGGTGCCGGGGACGGGTGGGGAGAGCATCGGGTCATGGAAAAGAACGTGTGTAAAGTACAAAGGCTTGAAACATCACGGTGCGTTGAGCAATTGCAAGCATCTCAGTATTGCTGGTTGGAGGACAAGGGGAGAGGAGGGCCACGAGGCTGCAGAAGCAGGTAACTGAATCCTGGGGTGCCGTGTGGATGTCTGGAACTTGAGGGAGCCACTGAAGGACCAGCATCTAATGGGAGTAAGATCATTCTAGCTCCAGGGTGGAGGATTGATGGGCAGGGGGTTGTCTGGAGACAGGAGATCCTCCAGGAAGCCATTGAATTAATCTTGGCCAGAGAAGGGGAGCCCCAAACCTGGATGGCAGTGGGGAGACAGAACAGGGGAGAGTCAGGAGATGTTGAAGACACGGAAGAGGACAATAGTCCATGTCACATCGTGAAAGACAGGGAGCTCATGCTTTAGGCTTGGCACTCTTCTCAAGGAGGTGGAACTGACCGAAGTGGAGGAGTCTTCCTCCTGTGATGCCTGTTGGTTGGGAAAGGGGGCGGTCAGAGGAGAGGCTCATGAGAAAGCAAGGAGGAATGTGTTAAGATACACAGCAATATCTTCTAGGTGGCTAAGAGGTAACCGGAGAAGCCAGACAAGGTTGGGGGCGCTGTCCGGCTTCAGCACTTGGAGGTCTCTGAGATGAGAGACCTCCTGAGTGGTTGGTTCTTTGCTCGTTCCCACAGAGCCCTCCTCCGCAGGGCAGAGTCGCCGGGTAGAGCCCCTTGTGGCCAAGTACTGGTCCTGCAGGTTGGCACTTGAATGAGGTCAGCCAGGACTGAGGCTGAGTGACAGTCATCCTTTCCCTTTTCCCCACCGCAATTAGCCTAATGCTAATCCCAGAAGTGTGCGCTGGGCGGGGGGCGTGAAGGGGTCTGGGTAAGGAAGCTGCATGGCTCCAGGCCCCTGGCCGTGGAGTGGCGGAGCAGGGAACGGCCTGCAAGACAGGTCCCCTGCGGGGTGGAGAAATTCACACTCAAGACAATGAGTGACCACTGAGAATAAGAATGGGGGTGGACTTATTGTCAGGATCCCTCTGCAGCCTGGAAGTCATTTGAGAAACAATTGTTTATGGGCAAGATAAGAAATCAGATATTCTCACATGCGCACGCGCACGCACACACACGAATGCATACCGGTAATACAGATCACAATGTGATGGCGGCCTCGGGCAGTGTTCAGAGAGGAGGGGAGCTCTGAGCAGATACGACAGGCCGAGCACTCCTGGCAGAGAGAATGGAATGGCATGACATGACGGAGAAAGAGAAGGGCCCGGGCGTTTTGGGGCTTGGGAGATGTTCCTAGACAACAGACAAGTGCAGCGTGCCCAGGACATAACGTATGCTCGAGGGAGAAGGTGGGGTGTGTGAAGTGGGGAGGGGTTGGGGTGTGGTGGGAAAGGAGGCTGGAAGCAGAGGGGAGGCCTCGGCATTAAGGAGAGACCCAGAATGCTTACACAGCTCCCCTGAACCCCACCATCTTTGTTACTGCCATGGGGCCTGTAATCCAGGGCTGGCTGAGCGGTGTGCGGAGCTGGGGTCTCCAGGAGCAGAAGGCAAGGGAAGCCCAGACCCTTCCCCTTTGTCTGCTGAGAGAACTTGAAATGTGTAACAGGGGCCCGTGTCTACCCACACGCTCTCCAAGCTTTCCCACAGGTGTGCCCAGGTGTTGACACCCCTCATTCTGGGGCCACCTGGAGGACCAGGGCCGTCGGCTTTGGCGTCAAGAGCCCCATCTGGCACCCCAGTGTGCTGTCCCAATGCTGTCATTTTCTACGTGTGCCATGGTCTGCAAAAGGACGGGAAGAATCTTTCCAGTCGTGCGCCCGCGTGCACACGAGACAGTTTGCGTGTGGACTATGAGTGCAGCAGCAAGGAGCGACTAAGAAGCACCTGCCTTGGAAGTGGCCTGCCTCCCACGGCCTCAGCTGATGCTGACCACTCACGCTGGTCACACCTGAGTAATCACACCTGAGTGTCCCAGTTCTTCGGCTCCTCGTGGTATGTTTTCCCACTGACATTGTCACAGCCCCAGGACCCTGCCATCATGCAATTTACACTGGTCCACGGAGACACTTGAGAAATAAGAACAAATACAGTAATTTTTTCATGAAACTTTCATAAAGCGAAATTAGTTTTTTAAAGACTTATCCTTTGCTTTGAGATCATGACCTGCCTTCTGTTATTTAACGTTTTGTTTTGAAGTATTAACTACGTACAGACATGTGTACAAGTTGTAGCTATACCGCTCGACGCCTTTTCACAGAGTGAGCATTCCCATATCATTAGCACCTGGTGAAGAATCAGAGCATCATCGCACCCCTCGAAGCCCCCCTCACATTCTCTTTCAGGCACTACCCCCAAGGGCAACCACTATCCTAAATTCTAACACCACAGATTCCTTTTGCTTGCTTTTTCAACTTCATATAAATGGATTCACGTAGTATGGACTCTTTGACTCTGGTTTCTTTTCCTTGACACATTTATGAGATTTGTCCGTGATTTTTCTGGCAATAATTTGTGACGATTATAATAATTCAATCTGGCAATAATTCAATACGGTATTCCATTGTGTGGATATACTACAATTTATCTGTTCATTCTGCTGTCGATGGGCATTTGGGACATTTCCAGTTTGGAGCTGTTACGAAGAGTGCTGCTACGAACATTTACATACAGATC